TGTCGGAAATTTTCAAATATTTAGTTCCAAAAAGCTGAAGCCTTATTTATCAGTTTATTGCCGAGCTGTTTTCCAAGACCTGCAAGGATATAGTAGTCAGCTCGCTCGAACTAATATGCCAACATCAGGCCGAAATTGAAGACAATAGCCGCTGTGTTAGACGCAGTTGAAGCGAATAGCTGTCTCGAATAAACTATTAACATGACACGAGGACCGAGGAAGAAGAAATCCTATTCAGAGCGCCGAATGTTATTTTTATTTATTTATTTTATTTATAAACTTTGCCGCCAAAAATTTATACAACGACAACGGCGCAGGTACATCAACACAGCATCAGCCAATTACGTTGATGCCCTGGTTCTACAGACAGTACTAACAATACATCCACTCGAACTCGAAACGTACACAACACATCTATCTATTTACATATAATTACAGTTCAAAGTCCACATTAGCCATCAAGGCTAGTCCTAGAAACAACAGTTCTTGAACGTTTTTAATGATCTTGCTAGATGGCACTTGGGACATATTGTTGTCTCGTTAGACGCCTGGAAAAAGCCATCGAGCTATGGTTCCCCAAATGAGGCATACTTTACGCTTAGAATTCCATCATGTGGATATTTCGACAAAAACATACCGATTTTTCTCCGTATTTATTCAAATTTATACAAAACTGCAAATAACGAAATTTGCGTATTTACATACTTGTAGCGGACAACCGGAAATATGCTACAACCGGAAATAATTTTAATTGGCTGATATTCTGGGGGTGGAACGCCCGTATAGGCGAATTGTGTCAGGCTCTCTTCAATACCGAGGGCCTGATATTCAGGTTACAATCTTTCCTGATATCCGTCTTGCCGATTTATCGCAAATGTACATAAACATATATCATGTGCAGAGTTTTAAGTCTCAAATTTCGTTCACAAATGAGCTTGCTTTCTTAAGTTTTGAACAGTATTGAAAGTATTGAAAATGTATGCAGGTCAAATTAATTTTGTGAAATAGCTGAAAAAGAAGTTTTATAATTCTACTTTTGAGCGATTGAATACAGTTTAATGTAAGGCCTGATTGAAACCCAATCCAACGCCGAATCTGAGGCGTAATCTGAAGTCTAATCTGCGGCTTCCCTCAAAGTAGTAATAAAATTGTCATTGGAATTTTTGATCGACAAATATAAATACACCAGAATGTTGTTATAAAATAGACGAATTTTAATACATTTTGGTTGGTTTGAGATGCGGAATACGAAACAAACGTGTCAATGCACCGCATACTTACGCGCCGAATACCGCTTCACTTTAGGAAGCATGTGCATTGAGACATGGAATGATATCAACTGACGCTTGTTGATTTCGTGTTTAGCGGCTTTAGCCTATCGATCTTGTTGTTATTCCCCCAGCGGCGGTTTCATTTAATGGTAATAACTTCGTCGGGACTTGAGCCAACGTATTCCTTTGTCCACCAGAAGAGTAAAAGCGCTTGTCCGGTAGAGTTCTATTTGAATAAACTGCGTCTCACTGAATTATCATACTGAGTTACTGACCAAATTTTCTTTAATATAAACATGATAATATTATGTCAATTCCAGCGTTCATAAACTCTTTTCTGTCACATTGTCTCAGTTCATTCGATGTGTTCATTCATTGTCTCAGTTCGTTCGACTTTACAGTTCCGCACCAAGTCAAATTTTCAAATTTTCTTTCTCGGTAACAAGGCATTGCTCTTTGTTGGAATATTTGACAAAGTGAACTCCCTTATCACATTGACCTTTGTTCTGCGTGTTCGTTGTTGACATATGATTGCAATTGGTCAGTTGATCTTTCATTCGGTTTACACATGCCCACAGAAACATTTGAACTTTGGACTATTGGATATCGCCTTTTTGTGGCTGTTGACAAGCTTATCCTGTTACTATGAGATTATAACTTGGAGGTTTGAAGGTGACAAACGTGTTGTCTCATTAATTTGAATTTATATATTGTTATATATAAATTTGCTTATTGCGTAGTTTCTTCAAAACGAAGCAACAAGTTGTTAACAACGTAACATATATTATATTGATAGCCTATATTGCGTGAGAAAAACAAGAAAAACGCAAGAACATATTATACTGATATATGATATATTGCGTGGCTTGTTGAAAACGAAGTAACTACATATTATGTTATAGTTATATATTGCGTGTCTATTGAGAACAAAGGAACGATAGCATATCATGCTTTGATAGGGGTCGGCTATTTTGCGAGCTGCGAGTTGCGAGTTGCAAGTTGCGAGTTGCGAGTTGCGAGTTGCGAGTCGCTAGCCTCGCTTTGAATTAGGCTTTGAAAGTATATTAATATGGACGACATGGAAGGCGAAGGGTTTTTCATCGAAGGGTTTTTTGTTTCATAAATATTAATGACCTTCGAAGTTAAGGTCCCTGTAACTAAATTGATAGTGATGGGCGATACCGAGTACTCGGTATTCGATACCAGCGATACCACAAACAGCGGTATCGGCATCGATTACTGACGTAGTATCGTTCGATACTTGCACCCTTTTTTAAACGACTTGTTTAATTTCACTTCTTGGTTGAATATGACTTAATGAACCACTAAAATAACTCTTAATATTCCAAATGTGGTGCGCCAAGTCATGTATAGAAAATATTTATTACGTTTCGCGCTTTTGGTTTACTCATAGCTTTATTTAGGTTGCATACAGTAATGTAAAAAATTTTTCTGCTGACCGGCAGGTATCGAAAAGTAGGCGATACTAGTAATTTAAGTACTCACTTCCGGTATCGAAAATTGAAATTTTGTGTTCATTTTGGTATCGAAATAGGTATCGGTATCGGCCGATACTGATCTTAAAAGTATCGGTATCGGTATCGAATTAAAAATCCTGGTATCGCCCATCACTATAAATTGATTAATTTCAACACATTTCCAGTGCACTTTAAGCCGGTTTTCCACTTCAACCGAATCGTAGCGAAGCGTATTTCATTGTTTCCTGACCACTAGAGTGGAAATAACGGTTATTTAATTTTATTAGTAAGTATGACCAAACACCGACTCAGTTTGTTTATATATATACTGAACGCTGGGAACCCTATAAAACTCAAGTCCTTTTCATCGGAAGTACAATTTATTTTATACAATTTATACATAGACATATATATACATGTATATACATAAACTTTATCTAAACACGGGAAAAAACCATCAGTATATCAAAACGATTGCTATTTACAAATTTGTAAGTATAAAAATAAATGCAATGAATGTTTATTTCAAAAGCTGAAAATTGGCGCCAAATTGAGACAAAACTAAAATCACATCCGCCAGGATGCCATACAGTTTTCAATTTGAATTTTTAGTGTAAACCACAGGTGTAAACACCTGGTTCGGTGCTTCAAAGCTAGGTTAGTGTTAACCCTGGGTTAAAATTAAACCCGATATTATTAGAAATTAACAATATACTCGTAACTCGCAACTCGCAATTTCCAAGCTCTCCGTCATGTTTTTGAGATTGCATTCACATAAACCAGGCTGGTTGAATAGCTTCTGCTTGAGCAAGTTGAAAAGGTACTGTCTAAAATGGCGGGAAATGCCATTTTTAGAGGTTCAAAATTTCAAGATCTTCACAGGTGGAAGCGGTTTGAGGAACCACGCTGAACGCTGGTCATCCATATTCAAATCAGGTTTAGAAACGGAAGCATGCATGCATGCATGCATGCAATGGACCTTTCACCTTTTGACTAAAATTTAGATTTCAACAAGTCTAGACAAAAATTTTATCACAGCTTGAAAGAGCATCACAAAATTAGTAATATTCCGAAGTTTCGTTGCGAAATGTTGTAAAATGCGGATAATATAGCCTTGCGAAGTTTGCAATTTTCAGTCATTTTGTATTACAAACGGGAAATACATACCCTTTTCCGAACGAGGTATGTATTTCCCGCGCGTAATACAAAATGACTGAAAATGGCAAACTTCGCAAGGCTATATTATCCGCATTTTACAACATTTCGCAATGAAACTTTGGAATATTACTAATTTTGTGATGCTCCTTCAAGCTGTGATAAAATTTTTGTCTAGACTTGTTGAGATCTAAATTTTAGTCAAAAGGTGAAAGGTCCATTATAGAGAAATTTCTGTTTTATTAATTTTCTCGAGGCTATACTGGAAATTCGAAAATAGGCAAATTACCATATACCGATCCCAATTCAGAAAAGGTCATTCCATAACAACCTGTTTTGGATCATCGCCGCGGTGACTGTTAATTGCAACGTCTAAGACTACGTTCTCACTAAGCCAGAGTGGTTTGAATTAAACGGCGGAGAAAAGACTGCGTTCGCACTACTCCCAAGTCCAAATTAGCCGTCGTTCACACTATACGCCTTAGAGAAATTGTTTGAAAACGTTACTTTTGCCGTAACAATTTGAGCACCGAGGTTTCAAAGCGGATCTAGATGAAAACGGGGGCTTGGCGGCTTCGTATGAACACAAACGGCCTTACTTTTTCTTACCACTTGCAAACCAAGCATCTCAGATCCCAAAACAGTAAATTCGAATGCTTTCCGTTTAAATTATTTTGGGTTTATATAAGTGATAATTGAATTTGTAAACAAATTTTAGCGCCGAAGTGTGAACACATTAAATTCTGCCGGCAGTTATTTCATTCCGGTGTAATGTCGTTGTAAACTTGGTAGTCTTAGCGAAATTGTTTGAAATGACGTCACTTTTGCCGTAACAATTTGAATACGGTTTGTAAACGGGGCTAGATGAAAAGGGAGCGCTTGGCGGCTTCGTGTCAACTCGGCTTCGGAAATAAGCTTGTTTTCGTTTCAACTTGATATTTAGCGTGTCAAGTTTAAGCTTTGTGCATTTAATAATAATAGTAATAATAATATGTATTTCTATAGCGCCATTTCCTTTCTAAGTCAGTGTGCGTGATGTTGGCCAACATATGGATTAAATATATTTATTTCTAGCGGTGAAAATAAAGCAATTTGATTGGCTGAGAACAGTTTAGAGCGGATAAATTTCTCACATCTGGCGAGCTCTGGTTTTGCACGAAAACACTGAGAGTGAAACAATTGTTATACTCAAAAATATATATGCCCAGAAACTTACTGGACGTACTAGCCTAACGATAGTTAGAATACAACAATTATAAATTGCATCGACGTCTATTGGTCCATTGCAGTCCGCGTATCATAAATCCAGTCCAGTCTGTGTTATACAAATCGAATCCAGTTCAGTCCGCATTTTACAACATGCCGAAAAGTATAAATCCATATTTAGTACATCAATAAAAGTGAAAGTTGCTGACGTCAGTCACACATTTTCGTTTTGCCATAGACCTTATTCATAAATCGTGACGAGGCCTCGTATCCTAGGATACGGGAACAAAACGCGGGAAAACAAGTGAAAACTGCTTGACAAGCCAAATCCAGATGCTATTGTGTCGACTTCAACGGCTTGTTTCTTGTTGCTTTTTTGCGCTGTATAACGATTTTTGTGTGTATTTTAAGACTTTGTGCCCACAACGAAAGCGTAAACGAGTATATTATAAAAGCGACCGGTTTTTCTCCCGTTTTTGTGTGGAAAAAATGACAACGTAGCGATGGTGTTTATCCAGAAGCGAAAAACAGTATTTTACTGAGATTTTAACGTCAATATAAAGGTTATTCCCTGAAGAATCAAGACAATTATGGAATAAAAGTATAATTTTTCGAATTTGACACTAATATGAAAGAAAACAACAGGTCAAAAATCACAAGAGAGCGTCAAATGTTATTGATTCTTACGGAAAAATATGAACTATGGCTGTGGCTCGATAACATTCTGCAAGCAGCTTACAAGTTTAAAAAATGAAGGCTACATTACCCGAGTGAGTTGTAATCCTATTTCTTCAACAATAGTTCCATATTTCTTACGATTTTGGTGTTGTATAGACGTTTTGTAGCCTTGTTGGTTGTTTGTTTTGCCCATACAAACTTGGCAATAATACAAAGTCAAAGGTTTCCTTTTTCGATAGATTCCAGCATCTTTTGCTTTAAATATCGTGTTATATTTTCTCAGAAGTATTTTTTTCAACTTTCAAGCTCAGTTTTATAGATATTATTTTCATAAAAAGCCGTAATATTCACGAAAAAAGCTGCCATAGCCGACAGCAAAAAAAACATTTTGTCAATTTTCCCGCGTTTTTGCCCGTTTCCTAGGATACGAGGCCTCATCACGATTTATGAATAAGGTCTATGCCATTGAAATTCTCTCTTTATTTTAACATTACTTGATAGACTATAATATGTAACATGAACAGCTTTTACCGCTCTTTGCCCCATTATTCATCAAGAATTTCACGAAAAAATCAAAATTTAAAGTGTAATTATAATTACGTGCAAGCATTGTTGATTCTTATCAGCCTGAAAAATATGCAAAGTGAATATTGAATTCTATAATTGCTCTCTGACGAAAGCCTCCCATTGGAATTCTACTCATATATTTTTCGGAATGGCAAGAGGTAATAACCATTTTGCTTTAATTAAACAACAATCCGTACATCGAAAGATTATAG